CTCCAGGGTAGATTGGCAGAGGCCTTGGAGGTTTTTCGCCTTCCTCTGTAGCATGGGGTACAGATCACAGCTAGAGGATTCTCTGCATCTTGGGGTCTTCAAACTATTTGAAGGCTTCAATATCTGAGATATAGGTGAGAGGATTATTCTAGGAGGGGGTGGTTGAGATTCTGTGGCCTGCATTGTGCAGGGGGTCAGACTAGATGTTCATAATGGTCCTTTCTGACCTTAAAGTCTGAGTCTGAGTGTAGACATAGCCCTAGTCTTTAAGGTGCCACAGGACTCCTTGTTTTTGCAGACTAACATTGCTACCCTTTTCAGGCTTGTCTGTGTGTTTATAGTATCTTCTCAAATTATTCTGTGCTTTGTGGGAATGGCTTTAGAATCAAATGCTCCTGCCTGTTGAGGACACATTGCATCCATATATTTCTCTCAATAATGTCTTAGATACAGGCATTCACACGTGTTAACCGTTTACCAAACAATGTTAGGAATCCAGCTTTTGTAATAACCCATACATCATTGTGGCCTGTTAAACTGCTTAAGTTGCATTTTTTATCTTTATCTTGTCAAAACTTCTTAATGGAAAGAAGGCTCAGAATTTAGTTTCCTGCTGTTCCCTATATTTTCTTGCATCTTTTCTTGTTTTATGACTATAATTTTCTTTTTCTCTTGTGTAAGTTTGATTTATATAGATATACATGCCCGTATGCAATACAACTGCAGGATAAAGGGCCTCAATAAATTGCTTTATTTATCAGTGAGAATAGTATTGGCCTGAAATTCTTGTGGATGGTGTTTGACAGATATTGTCCTGTCTGAGAAAATGGTATTACAAGAGGTGAAGAAGCAGACCTTTGGCAGTCATACGGAAAGAAATAGCCATTCTGCTTTAAGAAACAAAGCATATCTATGCGTTCACTTTAATAGGCACTACTCCTTGAATGAGCAACTGTCAGGATGTACAATCTTTGTATATGGGCTTAAGTTGGGGGAAAGTTTAGTAGTAAGAGCTGCTGAAAATGTCCTGAACAGGAACCTCAAATAAAATCTCATTGGCTGTAATCTGACTTGTTAATGTTGTTTTGGTAGCTTTCTTGGCATGAGGGGATGAGGAAATTTGTCAAAGGAATAACCTCACTTAGTTGTATAAGTGCTTCCCTTTATTTATTCCAAAACAAAATGAGTGAGGATGAACAATTAATGGGTAAATAACTTTTTAAAGAAGGCGTATTTATCAGTAAAGTAAGCACTAGGGAATTGAGTTTAGACTAAGTGTTGAAGAAACCCTAGCACTTGGAATGAAGTTTCCAGTAGGGATGTAAGCGACTAGTCAAATCCGATAAGCAAATGCTTATCAGGTAGTTGAGTAGGAACTCAACTAGTCACTCCCCTCATCTTGCTGTGTCTATCAGAGGGGCAACAAGTGCGGGGAGCATGAGCCAGTGCTGGGGGAGTTATCTTAAAAGCTGGTTCCCCCCATCTCTGTGGAGGCAGAGGACAGTGAGGAAAAGGCACAAGCAGGGATTAAAACTCTCACCAGCCCCACTGGTGCTCCTCTCCTGTTGAAATGTAGAAGAGCAGCCTGCAGCTCTTGTACATTTCAAAAGAATAGGCACAAAGGGGAACCCGTGCCAGCGGGGACTGCTTTGGTCCCCGCTGGTGCGGGTTCCCACTGCCTCTCTCCCTTGGAAATGTATAGGAGCTGCCCTCTACTCCTGTACATTTCAAGAGGCTCTCTCCCTTTGAAATGTTCAAGGGCTTCGGCGGCTCTTGTACATTTCAATGGGAGAGGTGCAGCAGGATAGTAAGCACCTTCCTTATCGACTAATTAAATAGTCGATGGAAATTCCATCGATTACTCAATTAGCTGTTTAATCGAAATGTAACATTCCTAGTTCCGGCACCCAGACAAGTTTGCTTTTGCTGCAATGATAGTCACAAGGGGAAAAAAACCAAACCCAGACAACTTGCCTTTTCATAATCTTCATTCCATCAGAGATATTAAATGTTTAATTTGTCATTGTACAATGGTTGCATAAACTCCAGCTGTTGTACAATCATACGCAGTCCACAGGCAGACATACTTCACAGATTCCTGATTAGACAAACAACATACTGAATGCCATCAACAGAATAGTAGAATGGGAAGCAGCCAATTAGCTCCATTAGGAGCTCCTCAATAATTTGCAAATCAAAAAGCAATCTTACAAAAACTGGAAATACGGATCAATTGCCAAGGAGGAGTACAAAAGAATAGAACAAGCCTGAAAGGATAAAATGAGAATGATGGCTTGAGGCACAAAATGAGCTACAGCTAGCAAAGGGAATAAAATTTAGTAAGGAAAGAGAGTCTATAACTAGATTAGAAACAAGAGAAGATAAAGGCAAGGAGAGCAAATAACAGGCATTGCGAAGACTAAGGTGTTCATATTTCTGCTTCTAAACAGTGCAGACATCTTAAATGCCTAGAGGAAAAAGTGATTAATGGTGAGTGAGTGATCTATACAGTGGTTTTTTCCACACTTAAAATGTCCACAGCTGAACCCTGAATTTCTTAGAACCCTTAATGAGAGAGCCATTTCAACTTAACAAGGTGTCTGGGAACTTCTCCCCCTTTTTTAAAAGGTTAGAAAGAATTATAGTAGTAATATATTATATAAAAATCTCCTAAATCCCATGAAGAGAGGAGATTCTTGAGACCCTTTGTACAGCTGTCATGGAGGAGGAGGAGGAGGAGGAATGGAGAGAGTTTTCCCTCTTCAGGCCCCATGTCCCCATTTTCTCCCCAAACCTTCTCTTGCTTTTAGGGCAGGTTTAACTTACCAGGAGGTCGGTGCTGAGGTGATGGATCCCCCAAGAGTCAATGAGAGAGTGATCAACATACTAAATTGACCCTGTATCACTTTCTTGTCAACCCCTGTACTCCACCAAAATGAAGCACAACAGAAGTCAATGGGAGACTTCTCCTGTGGACCTCTGCAGTAACTCAACCATATGTACATTGACTCATTCTGTGCTATTTACTCAGCTGGAGTTGCATACCTGAGGTTGATGTTGCCCCATAGTGTAGACCTGTACTGTTTTAGGGGCATTAGAAATCTCCAGGCTACTTCTAGCGATTTAATCATGAAATCTTTATTTGGGCAATAATTCTTTGTTCTCTGTAGTGTTATGTTTCAGCTGGATAGAATATTGATTCCCTGCCCCCAATTGTGTATTCTTGCTGTGCACTGTGAATCAGCTGGCACAGTCCAATTCAGTCTTTCTGTATGTCAGTGGTGAGGGAAGTGAGTCTGTATTTCTCATCTCACCTGAGAGATGCTGAGCTAATTCTTATCTGACTTTAAAATGTACTGCAAACTTTTTCAATATGCTTTCTTTTCACAGTACAAGTAATAAAGGCTTTACTTGGTGCTAAATTTCAGTGCATGGTTTCGTGAATTAGTATTGTCATCAGCTTTAAAGTTATTGTTTTACTTGAAATCTCCTGGAAATCGCAATAGTCAAGTTTTGACTTCACTTAAATACAGAAGTCAGTATTGCAATGGGTGAGCTTTGCTGTTTTTGTTTGGCCTTCCACCTCAGATTTGTAATGAGGCAGTAGTGGTTTGAGTGAAGCAGCTTTTTGTGAGATTTTAACCTTCCTTGTGATGTGTGGAAAACTTAAACCCGCTAGCAAGACAGAACTCAAGTTAGTCTTTTAATTCTAATTTTGATATCCTGTGATATGTCCACCTATGAACTATACTAAGATACTAAGGTTTTTTTTCTTTATTTAAACTCTTTTCCTTTCAGGATATGGTCTACCAGATGATATTGTGATAGAAAAGAGGGGCAAAGGAGACAACTTCGTTGACTGTACAGGGGCAAATATAAGAATCTCTAGTTTGAAACTGGTTCAGCATGATGGAGTAGAGGGGATCTTAAGTAAGTAATAAAGTGTCCATTGTTATGCTTTCATATCATAATTATGGGCGGAGTTAAAGCTTTGCTAGTTGGTAAATTTGCATCCAATTTTTACTACTTTCCCATCTTGAAAAAAATTCATAGGAAAAGGATTCTATTGATTTAAACATCATACCTTCAAGATTTCTTTACCTAGATTATAATGAATTTGGAACTGAATAACTCCCATCTTTGAACTGTCTGAATTCAGCCTTCTGTTTTTCAAGCTTTTTTCTTATTCTTAAAAATTAATAATCTAACTCATCCTATCTGCTAAGAAGTCTCCCTGCCTCTAAGAATTGCTAGATAGCCTGCTTGAGTTTGGCTGGAGAATGAAACCTGTTTGCCTTACTGGCAAAGAGAACTGCTTTGGAAATACCTGATTCTTCCTGACCCAACCTCTCCTCTACTTAGTCACCACTAAGCCCCCTCTCACCCACTGGCACATTCAAACTGCGACTCCACCATAAGCATGCTCAGCAGGATACTACTTTGTCTCTTTCCTTCAAACAACATTTAGATGGCTGTTAAGAAGGCCCATGCTCCACCTTATTTGCTGGCAGCTCAGCTCTCTAATTCTAAGTAGTTTATCTTTTCATTTTGTTCCCTACCCTGACTGGCAGCTTAGTGCTATTGTGCCTCACGTCACTTGGCCTCTCCTGTTGTCCTTGTCCGGTAATCAAGAACCTGATCGCTTTGCTACCTGAGAGAATATTGGTGCTTGCTCTGGGCTCAGAGTAATAAGATTTTTCTTATCTTGTAAATCCTTTGAGAATCTGCATTTTTATAAGCAAAACCCATGCTACGTTACCTGCTGTTATTTTCATCATACCTTGGAATATAGTATTGCTCCAGACAATTATTTTAATCATCTAAGGAAACATTAGCTCCCAGTTTCATCTGAGGATAAGCATACCAGGTCCTGCCCTACTGCCTTTATGGAAGATGCTAATTATCGCTTCATTAAATAGAGGTGGATTAATAAATATCACTTTAAAATGCTTAACACCTTCATGTAGGTATTTCATATTTTGTCAACTTAGGTAAAACCCCTTCACAAAGAAAGGGAATCAAGGTTGATATGGGGAAATTACTGCTCTCGTTTAAAAAACAACAACAACAAAAAAAAACCCCAAACACATCTCGAAGAGGAGATCTCAGACTAATGGTCCTTCAATTGTTCTTCTGTAATAAAGGGCCTGGATTATGATGGAAAACTTGCACTGGTATAACTATTTATTTTTAATTATGCCAGTGCAAACCACTATTGTAGGTAAATTTAAAGTGATTTCGTTTTAATTCAGAAAAAAGTGAAATTAAGAAACTGGGTTTAGCACAGTTTGCCTTAGTTTAAGTGTGTCTACATTAGGTTTTTGCATCAGTGTAACTGAATTGATTTAGTAAATTAAAAAAAAGCATATAATCCAGATCACGTCCACAGGGTAACAACACATACACAAGATTGTGAGAATATTCATGTGTGTAATTGCTTTGGTTTTGGATATACTATTACAGGGATTATTTTATTGCAAGAGAGCTTCTATTAAGCTTGTTTTGCTGTTACATGCAACCCTAGCTATTTTGTGAAGTACATCACTCTGAATTGTTTTCTCTTGAAAAAACCATGCAATTAATGAGGAAGCCAATAAAGCTCGACAGTTGTCCTCTTTTCCAGGTTAGCTGCTGAGAAAAACCAGTATATAACTTGACACAGGTCTCCCTGTGCCCGTGCAAATGAATGAAAATATTAGTTGACAAAGCTCTGCTTAGGTGGCAGCTGGTAATATTTTAAGAAATAGTAACACATAAAGAAACGAGAGAGGCCAATCCTCCTTTTGTTATAGAGCTAGTCAGATCTGTATAAATGGGACCCTTAAGAAATGATCAGTTCTTTGTTTTCACCCCATTTTTCCCAACAGATGTCTAGTTCTGTTAGCTGCGAGCAGTAATATTGGGCCTCCTATAGATTGAACATGTGCCCAAGTGACAATGCAAAAATGTACCAGTGTGCCAATACTTAATTGTATTAATATGACCATCACATATACTTGGAATTATTTGACAACAATTATGCAGAAAGTGAACTCGTGGTCTCTAAGGTCCCTGTAGACCAAAACATTTGTGACTTCATTGCATTGTTTTATTTAAATTTAGGTTAGCTGGTTCTAATTCTATTCAAATTTGCTTTAATCTTCTGGAAGATGAAACCTGAAAATTATTCATTAAGTTGTAAAAGCAAAACATTGTTGCTTGTCTGATAATTTTGGTCACGTAGCATGTCTAGCGGTGCACATAACCCAGGGGTGGCCAAACCTACTGACCCACTTAGCTGCATAGGACTGTCTTCAGAAGTGCAAGCCAGGCACACCTGATAGGGCTCACGGCTTCAGTCCTGTGGGAGGCACCTGATGGGTCTTTGCATCTCAGCCCTGTTCTGTTGAAGTCCTGACACCTCTCCTTCCCTGTTGCGCAGAAGCCCCCATGCCGCCATCCTGCTGCAAGGCAGAGGCACTGAGCTGGTAGGTGGAGAAGGGGGTGGGGTGCTCCATAAGCTGGACTTCTAACATGTGGCTCATGAGTCATGGTTTGGCCATCCCTAGCATATACTTAAGCCACTTCTTATGTCAGTCTTTCTGAAGATGTAAGGAGAACAGTTGATCTTGCAGGCAAGAGATATAACAAACATAACTGTAGTTCCAGTCACAGCCATATGTGAGCCAGGCAACTGTCGCTGTCATCAGCATTAACTTTAAAGCTCAGTTTCCCATATTTCTAAATTTGCTGCAATTCTGTGGGGGGGCTGGTCCTGGTCCCCAGGTTCCTGACTGAGCTGCCTGATGGCTACTCAGATTCTTATCTGGGCTGCATTGGCCATGGAATGGGGCTGGAAACTAGAGCCCTCCAAGGATAGAAATGTCTGTCCGCAGATACACTGTGATCTGCAGATCCACAGGGCTCTACTCCCAAGAGCCACTGCAGCTGACAGAGAGGCGCATTAACCCATCGCTCTTGGGAGCCAGTACCCCACTCCAGCAGCTCCTCCCAGCAGTGTGGCTGCACAATCCCCTACCCTTCTGCCAGCAGGGCTGTACAACCTCAGAGAGGAGATGCTGGAGGGCAGTGCCAGCATAGCGCACTGGCTCCTGGACATGATGGAGTAACACTACTCTCTGCTGGCCAGAGTGGCTCTTGGAAGTAGAGCCCTATGGATCACAATGTCTATCCATGGGTATCAGCTCCCTGGCTAGAGATTTCTTTCTGTGCAGGGCTCTACTGATAATACAACTGAGAGTGTGCATTGTCCAAGCTGTGTCCCACTTGCTTTGGCTGTACATCCTTCCCCAGTGGAAACAAGTAGCAGGATGCGTGTGTGAGCATGCACACGCCTTTTCACTGAATATCTGCAACTGGAGGATCACACTTTATTTTCTCTAGTTTTGGACTCTGATTATGCAGCTGATGTGCTGCAAAGTGGCTACACTGTAGAAGTTTGTCCCTGAATGTGTAGGTGTTTCCATTTAACATCTGTTGGCTTGTTATCCAGAAAAATACTTGAGAGCATACTTGTTAAAAAGGCTGAATCCTGAGGCCTACTTTGGGCTTCGCTGAAATCTGGAAGAAAACATTTTTCTGTCAGATATTAATCTGTGTCCTCATTATAGTATCTGTCTGGCCTGATGAACAGAGAATGCCTCTTACAGATCATCTATTGTCCTGTCTCAGCATGATCTCTAATGTTGACACTGGGTGTCTTTGTTTGCAGGTGTTCACCATGGGAAAACCACATTGGAGAACTGTGTGCTACAGTGTGAAACTACAGGGGTTACAGTGAGAACATCAGCTGAGCTATTAATGAAGAACTCTGATCTGTATGGTGCCAAGGTCTGAACTAACTTCAATATTTTTTTGAAACAAAACACCAGCTTTAATAAAGTGACGATCTCTGAGGGCGAATAGTGATTCATAATCAGGAAAGACAGTGACTTCCTTGATCCTTTAGAAAACCACCTGTATTTTCCATTAGATGCTAAATATAATTAGTTTTTAAGAAATCAGAGTATTCTCTTAACCTGTTACGTGGTATCTCTCTCCAGGGAAGTGGGGAAGACACACTGCATATTGTTCTGCATGTGACACTGTGGAAAATCAAAGTCAGTTAACTTATGAAATAACCCCATGTGTTTGAAGCGGATTCCTGGGATTAGACTGTTCTTAGTGAGCCCATCTTGTGCCCATTAAGTGTACTTGTCTCTTGTTAAACTAATATTCTCTCTCTGGCTGAATTGCCTTTTTTGGACATGTTACCTATTGATTCTTACAAGGAGATGATCAAAATTTAACACTGTTACATCACCAAAAAAAAACCCCCAAAACCAACAAACAAAAACCTCTGCTGGATTCCCCAGGACTGCATATGGTGTATTAAAGAAGCTCTGTGCATGTCGTCATGCAATCGCAGCAGAACTTTTGTGGTATGATGATAGCAGCATTACCATTGGGGACTGAATTGTGAGCACCTGCTCCCTGACAAGGAAATAGCCTGTTATCATGTAGCTGCTAACTGGAGAGACGGGCCCACTTTGGGCAATGGATTATGCTGAGAATTTGCTGACTCATTTGTCTCCTGTCTCTTTAATTTACAGGGTGCTGGTGTTGAAATATATCCCGGTAGCACATGTACCCTGCAGGGCAATGGCATACACCACTGCAAGGAGGGAATCCTCATAAAAGTGAGTCACAGATGGAATTGTTGTAATCAGTTATCAAGACCACATCTGCTATAATTGGTACCTAGTTCCAGTACCTACTTCCAGTACCTACTTAGTTATCTCATAATGTCACTACTTCTTTATTTTAACTTCTTTGAAAGACAAACTTTTGTTTACTACAGCAAAACATTCCTCCTCTTTCATGGCTGCAATGAGGAAGATGGTGATTATATTTAAATATGTTTCCTTAAATGTACAAATAGAGCTAATTCTTTTATATTTTCTTTTTTTAGAGAAGGCACTTTATCTGAGTTGAAAATTATCTTCTTTTTGAGAATTTGCTACATACATTTTTTCTGAAGTTTGTGTTCTGCTATAGGATTTCTTAGATGACCATTATGACATGGCCAAAATAACCATGGTGAACAATGTGATCCATAATAATGAAGGATATGGAGTTGTCCTGGTTAAGCCTACAGTTTCCTCTGATGTAAAGGACATTGCTGCCAAAACTTCAGAAGGTATTTTTTATTCTGTCTTAATAGGAGCCTAAAAATAATGGTGAATCTACTGTTTCTGTAAAATATTTAGAAAATGCACACTATATAAGTAGGCAGAAAGAGCTTTAAACTTCCTAATAAGGAGAAAAGTCAGTGTAGTTAGGACTCCTCTATAATTATCAAATCAAACTTCCCAGATCACAGCTACTGAAAAGGACTGTGCAGGCTGCACTTCAATCTAACTTTTTTATCGAATGATATCAAAGCATTTCTGAAAACTTATTCTGGGTACTGGAAGCAAGTATCAGGTGGCTGTTATGATGGTCTTTCAGAAGATGCTGACTACTTAGCCATTTAAAATATGATATTTGCTGCAGTTACAGGAGGTTTCACCTCTTTCATGGTATTTGACCTTGAGGCTTTTCCCATCTGTCTTTCCTCTAAATGAGTGTCTGGGTCAGTGTATCTGAGTCTATATTAAATGATGTGTATCTAATCAGTGAGGAAAAGGAGCTTTCCAGTTGTTTCTTGCCTACTGACCCATCTGCCCTACTATGCGGATCCTGCAGGACTGGAACTAACTACTTGGTGTCTTGGTCTCGCTCTCCCTCGCCTGCACACACATACACAGCAGCATGTTGTCAGGGAGAAAACGGGCATGTTCTTTCCACAACCATTTCCTACCCATATTAATTCTATTCTCTCCTATTCCACCATGCAGCAGAAATGAGACTGGCTGGATCTGGCTTATTTCTCCCAGTGTAGTTGTTCCCAACTATAAATATCACTTGACAACTGTACTTTCCATATCTTGCTTCAGAGACAGATACTAAGCTCTAAGTTGCAATGTCTAATCCCCACTCAGCTGTCTCTCTCTCAAATACTTGACTAAGTAATTTAACAGTCTCAGGATTCTTTCTTAAGCATTGTGCTTGTATGCTTGGAATATAGGGGGCTATCATTAAAACTGCCATCTGAAAGGGTGATAAGCTGGTGAATTTTTCCTCTGAAACTTTCATAAAATATTCATTGCACTTTATCGTTTCTCGTGGCAATCACCTTGAAAACTTACTCTTGCTTTTAATTTTTTGGGGGAATGCTGGATTGTCCCAATTGCCACCTGATTCTTTTTTGTGCTATATTGACTGCACCTTTGTGCTTGCTGGGACCGGTTGGATCACCAAGATCCCCTGGAGACTGTCACTTGATGGCCTATTATACCACTGAGTCTGCTTACCTGCTCCCTGGGGTGCTCCATCACCCTGTCCTGCTGGGCCAGAAGCTTTGGTCTCTTCTAGCAAAGACAGAGTTGGAGGAACAGCCCCCAGCCAAGTAATGCAAACACTGATAATAGCTCAGTTCTGTCAGGGCTCAGTTACGAGGACTTGATAGCATCCTGGAGCCCCAAATAGGAACCAAAACCATCCAATAAATCCATCTTACTTGCCCTTCCCCCGCTTCCAGGTAACAATTATTTATACTGGGTTTGATAATAAGCAAAAGTGATTTTTATTAGGGGTAGAAAGTAGGATTTAAGTGTCTGCAATTGAGGACAGGCAGATCAAAGTAATATACTAAGCTAAAATGAACAAAACATACTAAGAGAAATTGTAACAAGGACTAGGGTGCAGAATTATATTTTATTTTAAGTAAAATTTTTCAGACCAGAGCTGATCTTTTCTCTAACAGTCTACTAGCTTCTCCCTTTGTTGGGCTATGTCTAGACTACAGGGTTTTTCAAAAAAAAGTGGTCTTTTGAAATTAAATTGAAAGAATGTGGCACTTTTTGACAGCGGGAAACCTCATTTTACAAGGAAGAATACCTTTTTTCGAAAGAGCTCTTGCGAAAAAAGGCGTTCTTGACCGCAAACAGGGCTTTTTTGAAAGAGAACATCCATATTACCTGGGTGCTCTCTTTCAAAGAAGCGGATCACTTTTTCTAAAATTGTGACTGTCTAGATAATCTCTTTCGAAAAGCTTTTTGAAAAGATTCTTTTGAGAAAGCTTCTTTTGAAAGAAGCGTGTAGTCTTCGTGTTTTTTGTTCTCTTCAGAGGGTGCAGTTTGTGATGCCAGTTGAAGGCAATAATTGTTTGCCCCCCTATGAAATTTCCGCAGAGTTGGAATCCCCAGTGGAAAAACAGAAAATTCAAGATGGATTACAGGCAGTCCCCACGTTACGTACAAGATAGGGACTGTAGGTTTGTTCTTAAGTTGAATCTGTATGTAAGTCGGAACTGGTGTCAGCCGCTGCTGAAACTGATCAGTTTCAACCGCGGCTGAATCTGGATGCCAGTTCTGACTTACATACAGATTCAGCTTAAGAAACCCAGGCGTCCCCAAGTCAGCTGCTGCTGAAACTGATCAGCGGCTGAGTCCAGGAAGCCTGGGGCAGAGCAACTGTGCCTCAGGCTTCCTGTAGTCAGCCACTGGTCATTTCAGCAACGGCTGACTTGGGGACGTCTGGGGCAGAGCAGCTGGGGTGCTGCTGGGTTGCTCCA